GTGATTAGGGAGTGAGATTTAGTGGGATTTGAGAATTTAGGGGGTGTGATTTGTTCGGTTGATCTGGAAAAAAAAGTTTTTGTTGATGATTTATGGGATTTGCGTTGTTCTTGCTGTTAGATTTGTGAATAAATGGTCAAAAGTTAATGGAAAAAAAGGGTTTGTTGCTTATTTATGTTTTGAAGGAAAAAAATTTGTTTTTATTGTTATCTTATTCCTCGTGGATATGTATGTGCGGATGAATTATTATAATGAATAAGTTTATTTGTGGATAGATTTATGTGGATGAATAATTATGGATACATTAATATGTGCTTGTACTTTAAATGCCCATTACTTTTCAATCTAATTTTAATCCCCATTATTATCTTTGAAGGAAATACAATTATACTTGACAAGGTCGATTAACATATTATATTACTTGACTACGATGACTTTAACATATAAACAACTAGGGATTGTCCACGCGTTTAAAATTAACACAGTAAAATATGTAATATATTAATTATATGTTTGATTGCGTAAAGCTTTTTCCCCTTCTAAAATGGCCTCATAAGTCTATTGTTTTTTGTTATCAGCGAATTCGAATAGTATCTCTTGTGTTATCCATTGTCGTTGTAGAAAATATATAAGAAGTATGTTTGTTTCAAACTATGAGTTAAAATGATTCTTAAAACATCAATCCAAATAGATGGAGTAAAAGAGAGGTGGATTACGAATGTGGGTTTAAAAGAGCATGCGAGCATGAACATAACTTTTTATTGAACCCAAACTAAATGTATAAATTCATAATATTAGACTATTAAAACAACACTGGCCAGTTGTCTCAAGGTTTTAAAGATGCTACTTGGCTTATTTTTGTATTGGTTTATATCAAATTATGCGGTTGACTGTTTGATAATAAGATGAAAAGGTATCTGTTAAGAATGGAAATATGTATGTATGAGAAACTATACAACCCAAATAGCTTAACCCATACGTAGAGTCAAAGAGATCTGCTTTTCTTCGAAAATGATCGAAAATCAAAAGATAAAAGAAAATGACACATTTCACAATGACACATGATAACTTCTCATAACTTGGGGTTAGGAAAAACCTTAAAATATTATATAAGATGTTATTGAGTTTATTGAGTTATTTTTCTTCTATTTACAATCCACTAATATTCATTTGAATTTATATTTAGCCAAATAAATTAATATTAGAATCTATTTAGAAAAGATAAGGATCATATAATTAGATTATAACTATAATAACTTGATATGTTATTTTCAGTTCTATTTTAAGTTTTCAATAAATAATTTTCTTGATGTAATTATTGGTATTTAATTATATAAACGTTTTCCTTATTTTTTTCTAAGGTTATAAAAGCAAAACAAAAAATAAAAAAAATGACAGATGTCACAAATCTAAGTGACACATGGCAGCCTCTCATAATTTGGGGTTAGAAGAAACTTTAAAATATTATATAAGATTAAAACATAAAAGTAGTTATACATGACATGCTGAAAATGTTGGTCGTCTATTAATTGACCACGAAGACTCGACCACACAATCTGATAAATAAATATATAAACATATTTTGTCTTTACATGCTACATGCTAACGACTTAAAGTTAATTACATATGTGTGCCTTGGTGAAGAACAAAATTGGAAAGAAATGTCTTTTTGGAAAGAGAAAGTGCTTTGGTGCGAGAAAATGTCTATCTTGATAAATATTTTATGAGTAAATGTTTATCTAAGTAATTGTTCCAAAAATTTATTCTGGTTTTCTCTAGATCCACCGTAAAGAGGATATCAACATTCTTTTTATTCACAAGTTATGCATTTTCAAAGTGCCTAATTTCTCTCAAGAATTTTGAAATCTTGTCTTATCGCAAAATAAAATACAGAAAATATCATACATTTAATTTTATAATCAGATAATTTGTCGTCGTTCACTCACAAATATTTTAATGGGTTCTGACACTATTTCGATTAACCAAATAGAACTGAAAGTACTTATAAGGAAAATCGAACTCATATTGTAAAAATTTACTCATTTCTCTGAATCCTTTTTTGAGACAATAATTATAAGCTTTGGTTTTTTTTTTTAATGTTGTTGTTAGTAGAGATTTTTAATTTGGATTTTAGGATATCTTTATGTGATTTTGTTGAGAATCGATTGTTAAAATCAGTGAACTTTTGTAAAGATAGCAAAAGACATTATTGTGTCATACGTTCTAAAACACTTGTAATTGAACAACAGAGAGTTGAGAAAGATTTTAGTTATGTCGTTATCTAATATAATATCATCACAATTTAATACATATTTAAGTTTGAAAAAAACTTTGAGTTTCTAACAAAATTTAAAATA